TTCAAGCAAATTTGTTTTATTTTGTTCCGAGGGTAGGGTCAGGGGTCACGGCCGCGGGGTGGGGGGTTGGGGGGGGAAGGCGGGCGGCGCCTGCGGCTCCCACTGCACCTGCTCCCAAGGTCGCCCAGCCTGGCTCGCAAGGGGCCCATGACCTGCGAGGAGTCCGAGGCCTGAGAGGGGCCCTGGCGTGCGAGGGTCCCGTGGCCTGCGAGGGGCTTGGGCCGGCTGCGAGGTCCCCCCCCCCACACCTTGGGCTCCGGCCCAGGGCGCAGCTGTCACTGGGTGGACAGCTGGCCGCGGAGGGGGAGGCCTGGGGGAGGCCTCCTGGGCCCTGGGCGCTCCTCGGAGCTGTGGGCTGAGTCCTCCCGGGCCTGGGTGCTCCTCGGGGAGCTGTGGGTTCAATCCTCCTGGGCCCTGGGTGCTCCTCGGAGCTGTGGGCTCAGTCTTCCCAGGCCTGGGTGTTCCTTGGGGAGCTGTGGGCTCAGTCCTTCCGGGCCTGGGCGCTCCTCAGAGCTGTGGGCTCAGTCTTCCCGGGCCTGGGCGCTCCTCAGAGCTGTGGGCTGAGCACTCCCGGGCCTGGGTGCTCCTTGGGGAAGCTGTGGGCTCTGGGACCCACAGCACCCGGTGTGGGGGCACTGGGTACCCCTCTCAGGGTGGAAGGAGCCACAAAGGAGCCCAGAGGTGGGTGAGGAGAGAGGTGGCCACGGATGCCCCCCTGGGAGGGGCCAAGCCACCATACCAGGGGACCCATCTTCACACTTAGAGGGTGATGTATGCCAGTCACCTTTAGAACCACCACCTACTGGAGGGCCTCCAATTGTACTGCTCCTCTGTGAGGACCTGCCTTTGAGGTTTCTAGAAGTACTGAAGGTAGGTGGGACAGGGTCGATGCTGGCAAGAAAGCCCCAAGGAGAGGACAGGAAAGTGAACCACAGGGGACTTCCTGATGTCATAAGTGCCTCCCATACAGCTGAAGTTCATATTTGGTGGTGGAGCTATGCAACCTGGACAGGTGTAGACTTTTGCAAAAACAAATAAAAGTTTGTAGAGCCCCCAGCCATATCATGAACAATTCCTGGCCTGGGCCAGTCAGTCAGCTGACAGCCATTGGCTTCACCTTGAGCTTCTGTGATTGGGTCTGTCCCTCCCTCACTCCTGCCCCGCACCACTGGCAACCTCTGTCATGACAAGCCTCTGAAGCTCTCTCTGTGAAGAGTCAAACTCATCAAAGCTCTAGGAACAAATGCCCACAAGCTTCAGGACAGCTTACTTGTGGGCAGTCTGCTCAGCCACACAGGGCTGTCAGAGTGGACAGCAGGCAGGTGGAGGTAATGAGGCAGATGACCAGGCCCCCGACCTGGTAGTAAAGGCACGGGTAGTACAGATTATTCTAACATACATTTCAAAATAGGACCATGTATTAAAAAGTATTCTCCCACATTCTTATAATTTTGTTTTCTGGTCCTGGAGCTTGAGCTCAGGGCCTGGGCACTGTCCTTGAGCCTCTCTGTGCTCAAGGCTAGCACTCTACCACCTGAGCCACAGCATCGCTTCCCTTTTTCTGTGTATGTGGTACTGAGGAATCAAACCCGGGGTTTCATGCATGCTAGGCAAGCAATCTACCACTGAGCCACTTTCCCAGCCCTTTAGCTATGTGTGGTGACATATACCCATAATCCCAGCCTTCAGGAGGCCAAGAGAGAAAGATCTTGATTTCAAGTCCAGTTAGGACTACATAGTACGTTTTTTGAGAACACGTCTTCAGTATTTAAAATGATCTCTAATCTGTCTCCTGGAGCAGGTGCCAGAAGCTGAGAGCACTCAACCTTTTGGAAGTGTTTCCTAGGCCATGTGTATAGATGGCAGAGGGGAAGCAAGTCAGAGGGGGCTGGATATGAAGGGCTGGAGGACGGCGATGCCACTGGACTATCTGGCTTTTAGAGACACTGGGGCTGAAAGGCCCAGAGAGGCCATTCATTGAACACCAATGCCTAGCTCAAGGAGAGCTAGGAAGGCTCAGCTTCAGAGAAATACAGACGTCATAGCCTTAGGAAAGCTTTGCATAGAAAATGCTCCAATTCTGCTTTGATTACCTCCCTAAGTGACTTGAATCACTCATCTCTGAGTAATCTCTAACAGTTCTGCTGGTACCTGAGCATGTCCATGTAAGGTCTGCTTTAGTTAAGGCTTGGTCTCCACCGGAGCCTGTGGTTGTCGTCTTTAAAACCTTTGATGCAAGCTTTGTTCAGGCTGCTGGTCCTGACACAGGACTCCACCATGCAGTACCAGCCTTTTAATAAACCTCTCACAATGTGGCTTCTGTTTTCTTGCCTTCTAACAGCTTCCGCACAGGTGGGGGAGCCCAGACACTTCCCAATTTGGCTCATGAGAAGGCAGCTCTCCTCCTTGTGGCCAGGGCATTTTTGGGGCACCAGGCAGCCCCCACTGCTCTATGAGCTGAGGGGTAATAGTTGTTCACGAGACCATTACTTTGTATTTTGAGATATCTTTGGCTTTTCACTGGCAGAGACCACCGTGGGATCTCTCCCAGCTTTGGGATCTGTGCCAGTGTTGCAGAGAGGCGGAAGGCAGTCCTGGCCCTGCCAGGCACCCTGTTGGGGACCTGGAGTGTGCTGCCAGCCCAGCAGGCTGTGCCTGGCAAAAGAAGGTGAAATGAGGAGGCTGTCTAACTACTCACTGCTACTTGGTGCCTTGCTGGATAGAGGGGGCTTTCCACCCATCTCTGAAAAGCCTAGAGGCGAGACAGGCCACTCATGGAATTGCAGACGTCATGTTGTCTAGCCTTCTAAGAGCTTGTGCTACACAGAGAAGGCTGGCTGGCCTTTGGTTTCACTCACCTCAGAGGATATCCCCCTACGTGGAAAGGTTGAGGCATATCTTCCCTAGATGGAAAAGGTCTGCTGGTACCTGAGCTACTTCCTTACGTAGTTCTGAAAGTTCTGCTTGCACCTGAGTATTTCCATAGGTCTGCTTTTGTTAAAAGCCCCAAGCCTACAGATGACAGCTCTCCAATAAAGACTCCCAGTTTGATCGCTTAAAAATAAGGCTTTTCTGTTTTCCTGCAACCGAGTTATGGTACAACAAAGGCAAAAGAAAATGGGTGAACAGTACCTGTCCTAAATGTTATATGAGAATCTGTTTATAAGAAAGCCACTGCTGACTGTCCCAAAGACCTGCAGCCCAGAAAGTAGCTAGCACAAAGCTTTTTTTTTTTTTTGGCCAGTCCTGGGACTTGAACTCAGGGCCTGGGCACTGTCCCTGGGCTTCTTTTGCTCAAGGTTAGCACTCTACCACTTAAGCCATAGCACCACTTCCAGCTTTTTGTTTATGTGGTACCAAGGAACCAAACCTAGGGCTCCATGCATGCTAGGCAAGCATCTAACATGAAGCCACATTCCCAGCCTAGCACAAAGCTTTTAAAGGCAAAAACCACGCATTTGGGGTAGGGATCCAGGCCCAATAAAAGCAAACCACATAGTGAAACAATCAGGGGTGGGCATACATCTAAGGGAATAATTGGATGAGCATTCTTTGTAGCAAAACCTTCCTGGGGCTGAACAGCATGACACACCTGCATATTCTCTGGAGCAGATCTTTCCTGAAGCTGGAGAACAAGATGCATCTGCAAATCAAAGAATGGCCTTTTGGAGACTGGGTGCAAAGCCTCCACCCATCAGGGTGGCAAGACGGCAGTGAGGGCAAGGCAGTGCTGCATAGACCCAGCACCTTTACTTCGCTTTTGCCTCAGAATAGTGAAAAGGATTCCATGAAGGCCTTTCCTCAAGTGTTTTACCATAGGAAACTAGAAAAGGCTGAGCCTGAGCAGGAGTGGAGTGGGTGAGGAGTGGAGAGGCAAAGTGTGGTAGAAGGGCACTGCCAGCGAGCCAGGATTGGCAGCATGCGCCTGTAATCCTGGCACTCAAATGCTGAGGCAAAAGAATGGTAAATTCAAGGCCAGCCTGGGCTGCAATACAGGTGACACCATCACAAAACAGAACAAACAAAAAGCTTAGGAGAAAAATTCTGGAGCTCCAGCTGCTGACTAGGAGACAAAGCCCGCTCCGGAGCCACAGCCCGCACAGCAAACCCACAGGGCCTGGAGTCTGAACTCTGACAGTTAATAATGTCAGTATCTTGTTCTGATGGGTCCTCTGTGACCAGACACAGCTGCCCTTCTCAATCCTTCTGGTACCCTTCAAGGCATTCTCAGCCTGGCTACATCACCTGCATGAAAACAGATGGCTAATTTCCTTCTTTGGTTAAAACAAACAGCTTCATTAACCTACTCTTCCAAACAAGGCAAGGGCTTCCCTGGAAGCCAGGGCGAGGCACAATGGCTGGACTCTGAAACCAGGGAGCCTCACCACATTTAACTCCTGACCTCAGCTGTCCAGGAAGCTGGCTAGGGTGGACTGACTGACTGGGCCAAAGTATGGATATGCCAGCAATGCCCTGTCTAACCCTCTGCTTTTTATTTAAGGCCAGAGTACATGGAGTGATGGATGATTGGTCAGGACAAAGCAACTTTGAAAGAACATGGCTTTCAAGACCCATATTAGGAGAACCTACAGTGGGTCAAACATTACGCATTACTGTGACTAGGGCAGAATGTGGTAAAAGTATAGGACTGTGAAAATCATTTTGAAAACAGGCTGAGTGAATTCCAGTGCTAAATGATTATACCTAACACTGGTACTATACTTACAAGCAGTGACTATTTATAGGTTGTCAGAAAACCGCAATGCCACCTGACTCACTAAACCATTTTTGCAGTACATATTCATTATTTAGGTAGAAAAGTTAATAGTTACCAAACTCGCATGAATTAGGCCCACTGTTTTTTCAGTCTTGTAAAATTTGACATTTATCTTGTTTCATAGGTTATTTCCCCATATCAAACACCTCAGATTACATTGGGCACACTATCTAGTCTTGAGCAAATGCAGAAACTAACTGGGTAATCTTACAATGTTTAAGCGTTCAGGAATGGAGACCTAAAAGTGACTTGTGCACACACAGTCGCAGCACCAGGAAGAGAGATGCCACGCGAGCAGAGCATAAACCACAGGTAACTCAGTCCAAGTAAACTCAGGTGGGAAGAAAACCAGAAACAGTTGATTACTATTTTATGTTGGCTTCCAAATAAGTTAGAGAAAGAATCAGCTGTACACACTATAAAATGATACAAACTCGTACTTTGCTAAGTAGCCTAGGGTAGCCTCAAACTGACAGTCCTTCTGGGATTACAGGTATGCACTACCACCCCATCACCCCCAGCTAAGGCCAAACGTTTTTATAAGCACGTTTTATTCAAATCTTACAAACGATCATTTTTAGAAAATGTTACATTTATCCTTGGACATAATATTCATAATTGGCTTTCAAAATGAACTCAAAGTACGGGTTGGATTTGAGGCTTCCAAGCTGGTCTGCTTGCAGCAGGTCCTTCACCTCTGGTAAGTACTCATTGAGCTGAATGCCTGCAAAGAGAGTCAGTTCTGAAATTCCACAAGGGAGTGCAGGTGACTCACAAACACTTCTGTTTAGGATCTAAGTATTACACTGTTCCTGAGGTTTCTCTACTACAGTGGGCACAGCGCCCTCCAGAGGCCATCCGGGGTTTCCCCAATGGACAAAACCACCATTTCAGAGAGGTCTTCGGTAGATCTGAGACACTGTCATTTGTCCTACCACTTTACAAATACTTCGATGTAGACCTTAGAAGCCAACAATCATTTGAAAACAAGTATTCTGAGTACGTGTTCCCTATTTGGGAAATAATGTAGTAGAAAAGAGATCTTGCTATGTAGTACAGGGTGGGCTCAAACCTTTAGCTCTACCTCCCCAGTGATGGGATTATTTATATATGTGCTGTCACACCTTGTGAACATCTTTTATTTACATAAACGTTTCAATTGGTGTTGACCTTTGTATCTTTTTTTTTTTTTGGTAAAGTCACAACATTACAGTCTCCTTTTCCATTTTATAATATACTAAACCTCACAGTCATCCTTAAACATTAATGTCTGACACTTAGACACAATTCAGTGCTATGGCACTTTTACTGGAAACATAGGATGGAAAGTGTCCAATTTGGCTTCAAATGCTTTCCAGTAATTTAGCAGCTCTGATGGAGAGTGGTTCTGGTAAGCACATATCCGGACGTGAACACATCCATACAGCCATATCTGAATTTTTAGCCCTTTCTGTATTTCCTTTTGCTATATCCCTATCCCTCTATTTTTAAATTTGACAACAAGATTTAACTAATCTTCCTGTTACTTCCAATAAATTACCAAAAAAGATAGAAGTCTTGGAACTGTGGCTCAAGTGGTAGAGTGCTACCCTTAAGCAAAATAAGTTTAGGGACAGGGCCCAGGCCCCATGTTCAAGCCCCAGGACTGGGGAAAAAAAAGGAGCAATAATTCTAGACTTTTAGCATCATGGCTAGTGTTTGTGCCTACAGGTAACCGTGCTACCTGGAGAGATGGGTGACAAGACAGGGACACATGGCTTTGTTCTGACATGTGCTTCTCCAAATGCAGAGGCAAACGTGTGACTATGGAGATGCTACTGCTGCATCTCGCACTTCCCTGTCATCTGACATCTTGGTAATAATCATTACTGTATAGTTTCTAAAATAGAGCAAATAATTTCTAAAAGTAACAAACTACTTACCGTCTTTTAAAAGTTTCTGTAAGATTTTCACAAATACACTGTCTTTAGACACTTCGATTGGATCATCTTTACCATCTGAACTGGACCAGCTAGAAAACAAAATCACCAGAAAGAAAAGTGTAGCTGACAGAAACAACTTTTTTTTCTTTTTTTGGGTCTGGTTGTGGGGCCTGAACTCTGGGCCTAAGCGCTGTCCCTCAGCTCTTCAGCTCAAGGCTAGCACTCTACTGCTTGAGCCACAGCGCCACTTCCGGCTTTTTTCTTTTTGCTTATGTGGTGCTGAGGAATCGAACCCAGGGCCTCAGGCATGCAAGGCAAGTACTCTACTGCTGAGCCACCTTCCCAGCCCCCAGAAACAACTATTGTTTGTAGTTTCCTCTCATGGCTTTGAGAGTGAACTGTGAAGAATGAGGGTGCACCATTGCCTCAAACTACCCGAGTGAAGAAGGGTCATGGGCCACAAGCCTTATACATGGGTGGCGTTCACCCACACCACCACACATCCAACTACAAGTCTTATACATGGGCGTTCACCCACACCACCACACATCCAACTACAAGTCTTATACATGGGTTGTTCACCCACACCACCACACATCCAACTACAAGTCTTATACATGGGTGGCATTCACCCACACTACACATCAAGCAACGATGTCTTATACACGGGCATTCACCCACATCACCAAGAATCCAACTACAAGTCTTATACATGGGTGGCATTGACCTACACCACCACACATCCAACTATAAGTCATACACAGGCGTTCACCCACACCACCACACATCCAACCAAAGTGCCCTCCCGCCCTCCTCTGATTTGTTTTCTTCCTCCAGCCTTCCTTCCCTTCTTTCCAGTCTCTCTCTCCTTCCTTTTTTTTTGTTCTGATACTGGAGCTTCATTTAACTCTAGGCCTTGTGATCTTGCTTGGCTTTTTCTGCTTAAGTTGGCACTCTACTACTTGAGCCACATCTACACTTCTGGCTTTTTGGTGGTTAACTGGAGAGAAGAGTCTCATGACTTTTCTTCCCAGGCCAACCTCAGCTTCCAAAAGCTAGAATTACACCGTTTTGAATGAAGAAAGTGCTATAAATAACAGATCTAACAATGGTTACAATGCTCTCTAAACCCTGTCTTTCTGGAAGCAAACACACCAAGGGTCTGCTGGAGGACAGAAGGAGGAGCTTTCTTTCCTTGAAGAACACAAACACAGAGCTGTTAGAAGCTCTAAAATTTCAAGCAAGCAAGGATAAGGAACTCCCAGTCAAAATGACAGCATCTTTCTGAGACTGGACTGGGACCCATGGACCAAAGAGGCACAGTACTAGTACCCTAGAGAATGCCAAGATCAGGCTCAGCAATAACCCTACTGCCTGGGAATATCAGTGAGGAACAGCTCCTCACTGAGGAGACCAGGGAAGGGAGTGGTGCATCTCAGCACATGGGCTCATCTACATAAAGCTCTTGCCCTCAAGTCTACTGCTGCCAAGCCTGAGGTGGCCTGAGCTTTAACCCTCCCGGAATGGAAATTTTCCTCTGTGGAAAGGTGATGGATATGAGAATAACGAACTCACACTTAAACTACCTGGTGTTTAGAACACAAGTTGTAGTTTTTGAGTCTCATCTGGCATGTTGGGTCCAACTTCTGTAATATTAAGGAATACACACATTTCTGTGCAAAGGGTCTAGACATGATCATCAGAAACAGTGACTTATCAGTTCAAAGCCCAAGGCTCTGAATTAAGTCCCAGTCCAAAAACAAAAGGCAGGCTGGGCACCAGTGGTTCATACCTTTAATCCTAGCTACTCAGGAGGCTGAGATCTGAGGATCACAGTTCAAAGCCAGCCTGGGTAGGAAAGTCTGTGAGACTCTTCCAATAAACCACTAGAAAATCAGAAGTGGTGCTGTGGCTCAAGCGGTAGAGCACATGCCTTGAGCTAAAGAGTGCAGGTACAGTGCCCAAGCTCAGAGTTCAAGTCCCACAACCGAAAAAAAAGAAAAAAGGCAATAAAAACAAGCAAACAAACAAAAACTCCAGTTATTTACTAGCCTGGCGTGGTGGTCATGTCTGTAATCCCAGCACTTAGGTGAAGAGTACTTCCCCAACAAGTAGAGGCCCTACATTTACTTGCCACAAAACAAAAACTACCATCTCTCCCCAAAAGCATAGTCCTAGGTCTTAATTACCAATTTAAAAATGAAGGGTCACCAGTTCAACAGCTACCACATTCATGTCAGAAAACAACTAGAAGTCTGTATGACCATCTGTCATATGATCACAGCTGACTTGGAGAAAGCCATCCACACGGCACCTGAGGTCCCATCAAGAAAACTTACTTAGCCGGGTGCCCCTGGCTCATGCCTAATCCTAGGTACTCAGGAGGCTAAGATCTGAAAATCGTGTGGTTCAAAGCCAGCCCGGGCAGGAAAGTCCCTGAAACTCTTATCTCCAATAAACTACTCAGAAAACTGGAAGTGGTTCTGTGGCTCAAGTGGTAGAGCACTAGTCTTAAGCTGAAGAGCTAATGGACAGTGCCCAGGCCCAGAGTTCAAGACCCACAACTGACCAAACAAATGAAACAAAACCTCTTACTTATCTCTCTGTAGCGCTCGGCAAAGGATTTCCAGTTTCAGATCATTTATATTTACATCTTCCTCCTTCACAGCAAAACAAAACACCCTGGTTAAATTCTGACTTTAAACAATGAATACATGCTAGTAGGTCATGTGCATGTATGAAAATACAACAATGAAACCTGTTGAAATTCCTCTAGGAAGGGGGTAAATGGGAAGGAGACTGATTGAGAGAGGAGACTGGAATACAATTAAAATTCAAGTTACATCACTTCCTAACCCTGCATAAACACTATGATTTTGCTTTAATTCAGAAATAAACACTTTTCCCCTTCTTGAAGATGTATTCTTGGCTAATGTGACTTCATCAGGAACTTTGAGAGGTAAAGAAAGATGTTTAACCTAACTTAAAAACTCTAGCAAATGACTTCTGCTTACATAGCCAGATAACACTACCTGTCTCACAGAACATGCACTGCGGTCTCTGGAAAGCTGGGGGGCAGCTTGTCTTAGGGTGAGCACTACAGAACACACTCACCCACCCCCTCAAGCCGCCACTTTCCACATGTGAGGGTTATCAGGAATTTAAGTCTCCTGCTACTTTTCTAAAGAGCTACCTACCTTCTAAGAGCCAGTGGGCAGCAAACACAGCAGTACTTTATGAGCAAATGTTATAACTGACTTTAGTATTTCCCTATTTTCTGTATGTTTTCAGTGCCCAAGGCCTCCTTTACTTGCCTCATCAATATATTCCAGCAAGTCCAAAGCTTTCTTGAAATCATATTCATTAGCTCTTCTGTTTTCTTCACATATGTACAGCTGTGGCAAGTTATGAAAGGTAATTAATTACAGAACTAGACAAAATTATGAAGGAAAGAGTCATTATTTCTTCTTCTAAGACGTAACAAGTGATTTCTGTAACCAAAAACAATGTTACATTCAGGAAGTATGTTCTATCTGCACCTTACAATAAACTTTCTAAAAGTAACATCTTGGGGAGACAGTTATGTCTTATACTAGAGTCAGACTATACTAGAGTCAGACTACATTTCTGTTACCAGGATGAATGCCTTAGAGGGCCATATGGAAGGATCTCGGGAAACCAAGGCTGGGTAGCTGTTTCCTGTTAATACCTTTCTGCTCCCAAACAGCTTCCAATCTGTCTTTCTAGGGGGAGGTTCTCAGGACAGTGGGAGTCAGGGAAAGGAGCTTTGCCACAAGGCCCAACAGATGCTGGCTGGTCCTGGGTGTGAGAAGCAGGGAGGGGAAAGACACCTACGCTAATGAGCTGCGGTGCGGTCAACACAGGCATGGCGCTGAGACTCAACTGCTTCTCTGAGAGCAACTGCTCGGGCAGGGTTTCCTGGTGCAGCAGGAAGCGCTCCTGCTCAGCCATTGCTGGTATTCAAACACAGGGTAGAATGAGGAGACTTTCAACAAATACAAATTATAAAAAAAAACACTCTACAGGTAGTCCTATCCATATTCAATAATTTTTCGCTTAATTAGCTTTATTTTCTTGACTGAAGATTATGCTAACAATATTATTTATGGTTATTTATTTTAGGCATATGTATGATACCCTGAATAGCTGATTTTAGCACCTTGTGATAACCAGTTATTCACTGTGGTTATGAAATGATTTTTGTTACTCATACCACATTTCTGTTATCACAAAGGATATCTCCCCTCTTGAGCATCAGTGTGGATTCATGGTTTTTTCTTCTGTGTTCCAGAAATATGCAATACTTCACCAACATTCTTTGAGACATTCAAATTATTCTATCCCTTAGGCTCTTAAGTTCTACTTTCTTGCCCAAGACTTGCTGGGCCATCTTTCCAATAGCCCTCAATCTCTTCTATAGGTTAAGAGACCAAAATGCAGAATCCATGGCCCTTTCAGTAGAAAGAGCCACAACATACATTAAAAACAAAAACCCACCAGGTTCTACCTGGTTATTTCTAATTAAAATATGTAACATATGGTTCTCTTTTCCTTTCTTTCTATATTAGTATCTTCCTTCTTGATTTTCAGAAATAAAACCATTTTTATTTCAGGATGACTGCACCATTACAATCATCTCTAACAAGGCCCTATGAAAGGCCAGGATTCCTTTGCAACTTTTTTCACTTTGGAATATGTAATACACTGGTCATCTACTACTCAAATCCTTTCTTTTTTTTTTACCTTCAATTTTCTCTTGCAATGTATCCTCTGATAGGTCTGAAGCTAGTGCAGCCAATTTACTCAAGCCAAGAAGGGTCTTTTTCTTTGCAAAGTAACGAGTTTCCATATTTGCTAAGCCCAGAAGTGTGGCATGAGCCTGCAATAAACAAAACATGAAAACCATATTGAGTTGGTCCTAGACACCAACTCAACCTGGACATAAAGGTGCAGTACCTTCCAACTTGCCTTCCACTAAGCTGTATCAGTGAGACACACAAACTCCAAACCAGATCAGTACCAAAACACTAATATAGGATGCAGCTTCAGTCTGACACACAGCACAGGAAAGGCCTGTGTATTTTTCTATAGTACATGTCTACCCCAATACCCTGCACCAAGAGCACACCTGAGTTTGCAGTTTTCACCAACACTTTAAAATACATAGTCATCATAATAAAAGACCAATGACTTTTATATAAACATCAATTAAATGTGCTTTATTATAATAGTAGCCAAAGGCCTACAATTATTTATTTTAGAAGTAATGAAAGGGTTGGGAAGGTGGCTCAGTGGTAGAGTGCTTGCCTTGCGTGCATGAGGCCCTGGGTTCAATTCCTAAGCACCATATAAGCAGAAAAAGGCAGAAGTGGCACTGTGGCTCAAGTGGTAGAGTGCTAGCCTTGAGATGAAGAGCTAAGGGACAGTGCCCAGGCCCAGAGTTCAGGCCCATGACGGAGCAAAAAAAAAAAAAAAAGTAATGAAAATACTATCATCATAAAGAATCCTCTATTTAAATTTTGTGCAAGGACAGCAGGTATACATTGTATACATGTTAACCATTTACATGTATCTTTTAACTTTTTGAAACTTTACTGTAAGTGAACAAATTATTATTATAGATACTTGAGCGAAAAGTGAGGTTGTGCTACATGCATGCAATGTACAATATATAAACCTAATTAACCTATCTTATCACCTCAAATGGTGAGAATATTTGAAAATTTGTCCCTTGAGCAAGTTTGAAATACATGATACACTATTGATAACTAGTTAATACCCTGTACAATGTATCTCTTCTTCCTCCTGGTTAATTCAAGTTCTGAACCCTTATACCTACTTTTCATTTCCTTCACCCTAACTCCTACAAACCTTCTACTCTGTACCTATGAGCAACTGTTTGAGATCCCACATACAAGCGAGTTAAGACAGGGTTTGTTCTTCTGTACCTGGCTTGATTTACTTAGCTTTGAGCCATGTTGTAAATTACAGAAGTTTCTTCTTTAGAAAGGCTGAATATTGTCTCTTTGTGTGTGTATATGTTTGTACATATGAATGTGCAATAGATGATATATACATATACTATGTAAATAAATATAGATACTGCCTTCTTGAAGGATACTAAGATGGATTCCTTAGCTTTGATACTGTGAATAGTGCTGCAATTATGTAAGAGTGTAGATGTCACTTTTGACATACTGGTTCAAAATGTTTGGATATATAGAAGTAAAATCTTAACTTCTGCTGTTGTAGTTTGTTGTTGTTTTTTGTCAGTCATGGGGCTTGAACTCTGGGCCCAGGCGCTGTCCCTCAGCTCTTCAGCTCAAGGCAAGCGCTCTACTACTTGAGCCACAATGCCACTTCCGATTTTCTCATGGTTTATTGGAGTTTCTTGCTTGGGCTGGCTCTGAACCGCAGATCTCAGCCTCCTGAGTAGCTAAGATTATAGGTGTGAGCCACTAGCACCTGGCTTGATGTTGTAGTTTTATTTCTAGTTTTCTGAGGAGTCTCCAGTTGTTTCCAATGTCTGTACTAAAATATATACTTATCAACAGTGTTCAAAGTTTCCCTTTTCGTTATACCTTCAGAAATACTTGTTACCTTTTATTTTTTTGGTGCTGGTCCTCCTGGGGCTTGAACTTAGAGCCTAGATGCTGTCTCAGCTTCTTTGCTCAAGGCCTAATTTTCTACCACTTGAGCCATAGCTCCACTTTCAAAAGTTGCTATCTTTATCTTTTTGATAAAAGACATTCTGAGGGGCTGGGAAGGTGGCTCAGTGGTAGAGCGCTTGCCTTGCATGCTCGAGGCCCTGGGTTCGATTCCTCAGCACCACATAAGCAAAAAGAAAAAAAAGCCAGAAGTGGCGCTGTGGCTCAAGTGGTAGAGCACTAGCCTTGAGCTGAAGAGCTGAGGGACAGCGCCCAGGCCCAGAGTTCAGGCCCACGACCGGACCCCAAAAATAAAAAAAAAAAGACATTCTGATTGGTATGAGTTAATTTGCTTTTTTCTCAGTGATGTTGAGCATATTTCCAATAACCTACCAGCCATCTACCTGATCTCTGAGATAATGCCTTTCAAGTCTTCTGCTCATTTTTAGTTATTTGTTTTCTTGCTATTTAGCTAAGTCCTCTATTTATTTTAGAAATCAATATAATCACTTTTATGGCTGTAAATAATATCTAAAAACCAAATAAATTAAAGATATCTAAGTAAACTGCATATATCTGCTTCATACAACTGAATCCTTCTTACCTTTTCTAATTCTTGGCTATTAATTTCATGTAACCAACTGAGATGTTCATGGGCTTGCAAAAAATTGGCCAACTGTCCGTGCTGAGAAATGGGCTGAGACAATAATTTACCCCGCTTTCCTTTCTCCAGATACCAACGGAAGAGAAAGTCTGAAAAATTCTACGAAGAACAAAACCAAAAATTCATTAATATTTAGTAATAGTTCCTCTTCACTTTTCTTTGTGGTACAGTGTCTTACTACAACCAAAGGCTGGCCTCACAGGCATGACATGATCTCAGTCCCCTAAAAGCCAAGATTACAGGTATTGTATCACCACATCTAGCTAATAATAGATATTTAAAAACCTTTTTTGATATTTACTTTCCCAAGACCTCAAAATAGGTATCTTCTTGTAAGCTTGCATTTTCCTATTCTAAGAATACACAGAGTTCTATGTTAGTCCATACTGACAATGATGGTCACTTCTCTAATGACCTCACCTGAGCTCAGCAGAATGCCTGCTCAAGACTGCTGGTGTCATTGGGAGAGCTTAATGAGCACTGGCCAATGGGGAGCCACTCACAGGCTCCATTTCCTAAGGCATACCAGCCACAGTGTGCCACTTATGTCCAGGTCCCACCTGGATGTCGTGCAAACAACTTCCCAGATAGAGTTCTAGCGGCAGCACAGAACTACACCCAGGTGAGAGGTCTGCAGTGCTGTGCAGATGTCTGCAGGGGCTCATGTGATACACTGGATTCTAGGGCACCCCAATGCCCATCAGTGTGGCTTTACCAACAGGACATGTGCTGAACTTTGGAGTGCTACAGAGGCTGAGGAGAAAGGAAGCAGGGATCCAGTTATGAAAATGGTTGTTTCTCCAAAAGAACTGGGAAAGTGAACTGGATATGGGAAAAACTGAGACCCAGCCTGGCCACCTTGGTTCTGGATGTTGCAGGCCATCTGCTTCTCATTTGAGCTGTCTGAAAGAAGAGTCCTCCCAGAGATAAGAAAGACTACTTTCCAGTCTTTTTTGTTCTACCAGTCCTGGGGCTTGAACTCAGGGCTTGGGTGCTATCCCTAAGCCTCTTTGTGCTCAAAGCTAGAGCTCTATCACTTGAGCCATAGCACCATTTCCAGCTTTTTCTGAGTAGTTTAACAGAGATAAGAATCTCATGGACTTTCCTGCCTGGGCTGGCTTTGAACTGCAATCCTCAGCTCTCAGCTCTCTGGTGCTGGCTCCCCGCCCCCCTTTTTTTTTTGACAGTCCTGGGGCTTGAACTCAGGGCCTGGGCACTGTCCCTGAGCTTCTTTTGCTCAAGGCTAGAACTCTATCACTGAAGCCACAGCACCACTTTTAGCTTTTTCTGTTTATGTTGTACTGAGGAATTGAACCCAGGGCTTTATGCATGCTAGGCAAGCACTCTACCACTAAGTCATATTCCCATCCCTTTCCTTCCCATTTTTACTGTTCTTTTAGATGTCCAAAACAATTACATGACATAAAGAGCAAAAAAAAAACCTTCACTAGTAAGCAACATAAAAGCAGGAAACCAAAGAATATAAAAATGACCAGAATGTGAAGCCAGCACAAAAGAACTTTACTATGATGAAGAAAACAAGTTGCAAAAAATAGATTAAACATATAAAAAGAATTTTAAAAAATCATGGTTTTTGGCTCACATCAATCTTAACTATTCAGGGGGCTGAGATCTGAGGATCACAATTCAAAGACAGCTCAGAAAGGAAATTCTATGAGATTCGTATCTCCAATTAACTATCAGATAGCTAGAAGTGGTGTGGTGGCTCAAGTGGTAGAGTGCTAGCCTTGAGCACAAAAGTTCAGGGACAGCACCCAGGCCCTGAGTTCAAGCCCCACTACTGACAGAAAAAAAAAATGTTGGTCATAAGCCAGGCACCACTGGCTCACACCTTTAATCCTAGCTATTCAGGAGGCTGAGATCTAAGGATCACAGTTCAAAGCCAGCTGGGGCAGGAAAGTCTGTGAGACTCTTATCTCCAATTAACCACCAGAAAAACCAGAAGTAGTTCAGTGGCTCAAAGTGGTAGAGCGCTAGCCTTGAGCAAAAAAGCTCAGGGACAGTGCCCAGGCCCCAAGTTCAAGCCCCACAACTGACAAAACTAAATAAATGAAAAATTGGGGCTGGGAATGTGGCTCAGTGGTAGAGTGCTTGCCTAGCATGCATGAAGTCCTGGGTTTGATTCCTTAGTACCACAGAAAAAACTGGAAGTGGTACTGTGGTTCAACTGGCAAGAATGCTAGTCTTGAGCAAAAGAAGTCCAGGGACAGTGCCCAGGCCGAGTTCAAGCCCTAAAACTGGCACACACAAAAAAAAATGTTGGTCACAAAACATTTAGAGTGATGGAGGGGGGACTGAGCAAGAGGCACCAGGCACAGAATAGACGCGTTAAAAAGACTCTTCAGAAGCAGCATCCTCTGCCTCAAGCGTCACCCATGTCCCGAAGTAGGTATCCTCCTTCTAACTAAGGAAAGAAGTGAAAGATCAAACACTTCAAAGAGAACTACTCAGCAGTACTGACACAGAAAGAACTGCTTGCCTGGTAGAGGAATGGGGAGGAAAGGTGAGCAAACAGTCATTACATTCAATGCATATTCAGTGTGAAAGTGGAACCCTATAACTGGAGGACATGGGTGGGACTGGGAAGGGGGAGAACAGTGGAAGGGTGACATGGTCAAAGTGCACTGTACTTATAAACTAATCTGTTGAGTTGAAACACTTTAATACAACCACTTAAAGGAAAAAAAAAGTACTCTGCCAAATGACAAAGAAACATTTAAATCAGCAACTCATTTACCTGCAAAAAAAGTGTGTCCTCCCTCCAAACCCCAGTGACATTCTGGAAAGAGCCAAGCCTTTCCACAGTGGCCTGTGGCCCACATGTTGTTACCTGGTCAGCAAACTGAGTCATGTAACGCTGGAGTCTGGCCTGGTTGTCCGTCTGCTCGCACATCTGTACGAGAATATCAAAATCACAGTACTTCTCTGCTAGAGAGGCAGCCCATGCATGCTGACCTGAGGTGACTGCACAGACAAGAGCAGGCAGGTGAGCTTCTATTCACAACCACTTAAATACACAATAAAACACCACCTGAACCAAGAGTAGTAATAGGAAGTCTTCCTATTGCATTTATCATTGCATTTAGCTTCATGATCTATATCAACCTGTTAAAGATGCAAATGGAGCACACTGCTCTGTTGATCTCCCCAGTGCAAGTCTCTTCCTTCTTGTACTAGCAGACAAGCTCTCCTGATCCCCACTATGAAGGAAACAACCCCTCTGCTCAATGGCCACACTGGGCTGTCTGCACAATGTGACACTTATTTTTAAATCAACTACAGAATCTTACAGTATTTGTGCCTGGTAAGTACTGAAAAGAAGACTGTATGAACAGAGAAAGCTGTATGTGTTTCCTTGACGTTTTGTTTCATGGCTACAGCTGGATAATGCTTTCACACTGATTATCATGTATCAGCTTTCAGCTGCTTCTTCCACTCCTCTCACCCCAGCACACCAAAGCCCCTGCTGACCACCATGTACGCACGTAGAAGGGAAAGGAGATCTGATCTTTTCTGCAGGTACTCTACTTCTAGATTGGTGTATCTTTCCTGGTTGCTGGGTTTGTCTAGAGACCTCAGCTGCAAAACATAACCGTCCAGGAAGCAATCAATCAATGCCACCAGCTGCTCTGTCACAATGTTTCGGAGATTGCTATCCGCCTGTGGGTACACTGTTTTCAGGATGACTCCATGCTGGCGCACAATTGCTGTTCGGATGCCGGCAGGACCACTTGTGGCTGTAAAGCAATTTGGCAAGTAAGGGTTCTGTGATGGCCAGGGAAGAAAGCAACTGCATAAAATTTATGCTCCTTTACCACTCAGGAAAAATAAATTATTGTTCAGTTCTAGCAGCTTATGCCTGCTTGAATCACATCTTCCCTGTGCTGATTTTCTTAACACAAAAGTTCTTTTTTCTTTTTGGTCCAGACTGGAGTGCTATCCCTGAGCTCTTTTGCTGAAGGCAAGCACTCTACCACTTTGAGCCACAGTGCCACTTCTGGTTTTCTGGTGGTTAATGGGAAGTAAGAGTCTCATGGACATTCCTGCCTGGGCTTCAAACCAGTGATCCTAAGATCTCAGTCTCCTCCTGAGTAGCTAAGGTAACAGGTGTGAGCCACCAGTGCCTGGCTTCTAAGTTTGTTTAATGTTATCCTACCTTTTTTGTGGTAGTAACATAAAATATGGCTCATTCCTTGGGGGCCAGGACTTGCTTCTATGAACAGCTATTTGCACTAAAACAGTAGATTTAAATAAAGGGAAGTCTATAAATATATCTAAGAGAATAAAGCAATTTTGGCAAGAACCACTCATTTTGGGAGTGGGTATTCAAATTTTCTTTTCATTTCGCTTACACACCTATACTAAGGGAGTAACTGTTAATATGTCTTACCTGTCCATGGAACATACTCAGGTTCTTTCCCTACTGGTTCCTCTTGCCTATACATGGAACTTCTATTCTGGCGATAATGAGTAGCAGCCTGCAGCATATCCTAGAAAAATGGAATGGTACTGTCACACACGGAAGCAATGATCACTTTGTTTCTGAAGATTCTGAAATACCAGAGGCTACTGATAAGAAAAATACTGGGTCTATAGCTCAGTGGTAGAGCACTTGTCTAGCATGCACAAGGCAGTGACTTCAACTTCCAGCACTATAAATAAAATACATGGTATTTTTTTTTTGGGGGGGGGGTGTTTCTGCTTCTGAAATTTGGTTTATTCCACAATTTAACTGCAAGCTTGGAAATTGAGTATCATAAAGTATAATATGTGAAATTAAATTAAGTACTTTAGTTAAAAACTAGCAAGTTCTAGGTAATTAAAAATAGAAGCCACAGGACTGGGAAGGTGGCTCAGTGGTAGAGTGCTTGCCTTGCATGCATGAGACCCTTGGGTTCAATTCCTCAGCAACACATAAGCAGAAAAAGCTGGAAGTGGTGCTGTGGCTCAAGTCGTAGGGTGCTAGCCTTGAGCTGAAGAGCTGAAGGACAGCACCCTGGCGCAGAGTTCAGGCCCCGTAACCAACCAAAAAAAAAAAAGTAGAAGCCAGGCTGTGGTCTTAGCCACTCAGGGTGCTGAGGCAGGAGGATTGTTTAAGCCCAGGGGTTCCACATAGAGACCCCACTGAAAGAGGGAAGAAGGGAGAAGAGAGAAAAAGAACAGTTACATCAACACGAATACCTTTTCAGTGATATAAAATCTATCTTTAAGTAAAATGTTTATCTTACCAAACAGAAACTTATGAATATACACAAGGCAATTATTCAAAGCCTTTGTTAGCTGACAGAATGAATGCTATTCTTCTAACTTTTGGGAATTAACAAATACCAGACCCTGTACTGCACTGGCTCTGTGGACTGGGGAGAAGGAAGCTTCCTTCTTGTCCCTCCCTCCTAGGGTGTGGAACTGCCCTGGGCATGTGATACCTTGAGGATGGTATTGACAGAGATGGCCACCTCCGCCCATTCGACCGAGTCCAGTGGTGCATCCCTCAGGACCTGCTCTTCGTGCTCCAGCAGACACTCGCAGACAGTGTCCACCTGAGACACCTGAGGACAAACAGAGTCAAGACTCACTCTTACCATCAAACAATGGAGATGGCTTCATGAAGTTACATCCTCAGACCACTAGACAGTTAATGGTAAAAATAAATGTAAAACAACAAAAAAATGAGCATCTTCTATTTATAAGATTGTCCAAATAACTAAATCTCATATATGGTCAAAATCTGAATGGTTATCAAGTAGATTTTTAAATTTAAATTCCACATAACTAATATTAATACATGATTATTTATTAGTGCTCAATACAAGCTTCAAATACCCAGACTAATCAACTTGTTAACTTTCTCTTGAGTAATTCCTCTTTTAAACACCACAGAAGCATTTGCCAAATATCAATATATACAAAAACCATGATCTGAATATGTGACTCCTAATTCTTCTCTCTTTTGGTCATGAAAACATGGATGGGCTGAGAATGTAGCTTTAGTGGTAGAGCACTTGTCTACCATGAAGAAAAACTTGGGTTTGAAACCCCAGAACTGCAAAAAGAGTAAGAAAACCTACATGAAATAACTGCAGAGAGGCATTGAAGCTCCTTTCCAGTTTTAGCATACAATTAGGCATTTCTTTTAGACTTTGCATGTCAGCACAGAAGCACACAGGAAAGAGGAAGGAGAAATCAGATCTTTGTCCACTAGGAGCTCATAAACTAGTTGAAGGAAATAGACATGTGTAAATGGAACACTTGTTTCAAACAAAACCAGGCTCTTACAAACTTGCCCTTGCTGTTATTTCTGGTCTTCAACAAAGGCATCCCAATAGCCCAAGCACTTTTTCTACTGTTACCATAAAAAATGATGAAGTCTATACAGTTGTCTGTCTATATGCTTGAGTTCTGCATCAACTACCTGAGAATAAAATGCTGGAAGAAAATGTTCCAGCATTGTAGGAGCATCCTGTGTAGTTAGGCCTGTAACAGACTTACTGAACATGTACCATTTTCTTTCTTGCTACTGTTCCCTAAATAATATAGTGTAACAACTATTCACATAACATATTTTTTTTTAAGTTGCAATATTTATTTCAGTAGAAGAAGTAGGATCTAATATTGAGTGAAAAAAGAACCATTCTAATGATAGAACTGATACAAATGGGAAGAAGTTGGGCAGAAAAACAGGTACTAGCTCAATTTAAGCCAAATTTTGTAATAGGGATGCCTTTGAACATTTACATTTTATTAGGTCATCTTATGTGTTCTAGAAATGACTTAACAGTACTCAAAAAACTGTGTGTAGGTTACATGCTATGCCATTTTCATGAGGGTGGTGGGGTGCTGATATCAATGGCTGGTGGATATTGAGGGATATATTACAGATGCTGGGTGGCAATAGCTAATCCTAGCTACTCAGAAGGCCAAGCCTGGAAGACTACAGTTTGAGGTTACCCTGGGTAGAAAAGTTCTCTAGACTCTATTTCCAGAATAATCAGCAAAAAGCAAGGTTGAAAGTGTGGCTCAAGCAAACAGTAGAGCACAGGCTGGGAAGTGGAAGTCCCTGGAGTTCAAACCGCAGTAGCACCAAAAATATGGGTCTGGGAAGGTGGCTTAGTGGTAGAATGCTTGCCTAGCATGGATGAAACCTGGGTTCAATTCTTTAGTACCAGATAAACAGAAAAGGCTGGAGGTAGCACTGTGGCTCAAGTGGTAGAGTGGTAGCCTTGAATAAAAAAAGCTCAGGGACAGTGTCCAGGGAACTGGATACTTCCTGAGTTCAAGCCCCAGAACTGGCCAAAAAGAGGAGGGGGAGAGAAGAAAAGAGAGAAAGAGAGAAAGAGAGAGAGAGAGAGACAAAGACAGAGACAAAGACAGAGACAGAGAGAGAGAGAGAGAGAGAGAGAGAGAGAGAGAGAGAAACTAATAGCTGAAAAATGCTAAGTCCTCTTGTCACGTGCATACACTATGGTTTCAATTTCAAGTATTGTCCATAGGTTGTGCCATCAAAACCTGAGCCTGGGGATACTAGGTCTCTTCCCAAACTAAACAAGAGACAAGGTGGGGATGATACCACCAGAACCCATCCTGTGTTGTTTCACTCTCCCTGCAAGCTACTAGATCAAAACTACAGCTCTGTATGACCTACCAGGTGGACTGGCTGAGGCTAACCAGTTCTTCTTATTTTTAATAAACTTTCCTATCACTTTTACTATAAAAAATAAAAATATACATCTAAAGTACACACATTTATGAGGTAAACAAAAACTGAAACTGAGTTACAGCCTACTAAAAACTAAGAAAAGGAGCTCTGTCAGCATAGCACCTGACATGCCAGGGAACAACCAAAGCAAGTAGACCTAGAGACCCTGGCAGTGAGAGGTTCCTCAAATGTACAGGAAATTCCACAGAATTGAGGACACAGGTGGCCCTATGTGTAAATCAGATATCACTACCAAGGGAGAAGGGATCATTCTCACTAAGGACCGCATGTTGCAAAGCAAGCCATATGCATGAAGATTGTGCTTAGACTCACAGTCTCAGCCTGCAAAACTGCTGCTCAAGCCCTGGATCACTTCTCTAGTGAAGTGGGCCAAGTCTTCCCTGACACCTTAGCTTATCAGGATGTGAGACATCCTACAAGGATAAGAATTATGTTCTTACAACAACTGCCACCTTAGCTAGTATCTTAGTATTTCTCCCTTTAAAGTTTAGAACAGATTTTTCTTTCCCTCTGATTTTGAAAGTGATGGCATCAGTGATGCTACAAGGGAATTGAGAGCGGTTCAGTGAAGGGACTATTCACAAAGCTGTGGCAAGAGTGAGGGTCCATCGAGGATAGCCTACACTCTAGGGAGAGTATCATCAACTCCGAGGAGGTAAGTGGACGAGACAGCCACTGGAACACAGAGGGGTCATGCACAGGAGCTGTGTCTCTGACAGGGGCACAGCCAACATGTGAGGAAAGAAGCTGGAGAACAGCTCCTCTAACCTCTGCCCCAAGCAGGAAGCCAAGGGCCTAGGAGCACATGGAGTAAGGAAGGCTCCTCAGGCAAAGTCAAGGAGTGAGGGAGAACCAGAATAAACAGGGACCCCTTCTTAACTGACTGTGAGAGCCCTATTTATAGGACAAGTGATAAAAAGTGTGGCGCTTTTCTAGGAGAGAGAGTCCAGTTTAAAATCTCAGCTGGGTACTGGTGACTCATACCTGTAATCCTAACTACTCAGAAGGCTGAGATCTGGGATGATGGCTCAAGGCCAGCCAGGCAGAAAAATCCTTGACATTCTTACCTCCAATTAACCAGTACAAAAGCAGGACAGTAGGCATGGCTCAAGTGGTAGAGTACCAGCCATGAGCAAGAAAGCCAAGTGTGACTGCAAGTTTCTAAGTTCAAGCCTCTGTACCAGAAACACTCCCTCTCGCGCCCCCCCCCCTCCAAAATCTCAACAAGACCTTCTAAATTTAGTCTTCTCACTCTGCCAATCCTATGCATGATCAGCACACGGCACAGAATGCATGAATGAGAATTCATCTGACCTCGCGAAAGAACACATCAGCGGGGGTCAGGCTGGATGGGACCTCACAATCCCTCTTGTTCAAGGCCATCAGGATCGCTGTGTTCACAAGGTCTGGCAGACGTGAGTGGTGGTTCTTGAGAGCGATGGCAGCTGACAGCTTTTCTGCATGTTCGCAGAGCAGGAGCCGGGTTGCCATCAGTGTCCCTCTGACTGGAGAAGTACCCAGACGCTCGAACAAGCCAACCTTGCAAAAAGACAAGCACATGGTCTCAGAAAGCACAGGCAGCGGGCTGGGAAGGTGTCTCAGTGGTAGAGCGCTTGCCTTGCATGCATGAGGCCCTGGGTTCGATTCCTCAGCACCACATAAGCAAAAAGAAAAAAAGCCGGAAGTGGCGCTGTGGCTCAAGTGGTAGAGCGCTAGCCTTGAGCTGAAGAGCTGAAGGACAGCGCCCAGGCCCAGAGTTCAGGCCCCATGACCAGACCCCTCCCCACCCCCCACCCCCAAAAAAAGAAGCACAGGCAGCAAGGTACTGACCAGTACAGCCACGAGTCCCCAGGGAGGTGGCTTCCCCAGTAACACTCTTCTAGTGGCTCAACACACTGGTGTATACATGCTAGCACACAGTGTGGACCTTACTGTTACCCACAACTGGTATACACATGCTAGCACACAGTGTAGACGTTACTGTTAGCCCAGTTTCTACCCATGACCATTGGCTTTACCTATGGTGTTGCTTGAATTGCCGTTCATAGTTATCAAAATGATCAAATTGTTCTTTTGCATCTTCACCAAGGAAGACCTTTTAGAACTAACAACTCAGCACCTACATCTTCAAGGGCTGTTTGCAGAACACGGGCCATGCCAGAGGTGTCATCAGCCCTTTGTATAGCCTCCTTGCCAATGACCACTTTTGGTGGGTTATGAAGGTCTAGTCTTTTTTTTGTTGTTGTTGGTCATGGAGCCTGAACTCGGGGCCTGGTCTTCCTCAGCTCTTCAACTAGTGCTCTACCACTTGAGCTACAGTGCCACTTCTGGCTTTTTCTGCTTATGTGGTGCAGAACACTCTACTACTGAGCCACCTTCCCAGCCTTGGTCTAGAAAAAAAAACACTGCCAATACTCACACATAAATGTTGAATACTTTTCCAAACTGAAATATATAATTCTTTTCATTAATGAGTAACCTGATTTCACTGCTTCTGTAGATGCTAGCAAATTACCCCCCCTTTTTTTTTTGGTATGCCATAACTGAACTTGAACTTAGGGGCTCATGCTCTAACTTGACTTTTTAACTCAAGGCTGGCCTTCTACCATTTGAGCCATTACTCCACTTATGGCTTTCTGCTGGTTAAATGGAAAGTCTCAGGGACTTTTCTGCACCAGCTGGCCTCAAACCTCAATCCTCAGATCCTAGCCTATTCAACAGCTTTACAATAGGATTACAAACATGAAACGCCAGCCCCAGCCCCAGATACCTTTCTATTAAACACAAAAGGGCATGGCAGACATACTGTTCTAAACCTAGCTTCATTTGAATTCTTTATGTTTTCTATACTATTTAAATAATCAATGCTTTTAACAGTGCTGGAATCTTTTACTGAGTTGATCTTTTTTTTTTTTTTGGTCTGTTGTGGGGCTTGAACTCTGGGCCTGGGCAGTCTCTCAGCTTTTCAGCTCAAGGCTAGCACTCTACCACTTGAGCCACAGTGCCACTTCCAGCTTTGTCTGTTTGTGGTTCTAAGGAATCATATCCAAGGCCTCATGCATGTGAGACAAACACTTTACCACTAAGCCCCGAGTTGATCTATTTTAATTAATTCAACTTGTTCATATAATGATTTTTAAAATAAAAGTTATGCAATATTGTGATTTCATTTGGATTCACTTTCTGGTTTCAAGGTATCTGGAGCACAGTTCTGTGTGGTTCCAACCCAGGAGGGAAGATAGCAGTTCTCTATAAAATTCTACCTTGGGGGGCTAGGAAAGTAGCTCAGTGGTAGAGTATGCCTTGCATGCATAAGGCCCTGGGTTTGATTCCTGAGCACCACATAAGCAGAAAAAGCTGGAAGTGAAGCTGTGACTCAAGTGATAGGGCACTAGCCTTGAGCTGAAGAGCTGAGGGACAGCACCCAGACTCAAAGTTCAGGCCCCATGATTGACAAAAATAAATAAATAAATAAAAATTCCACCTTGGCCACACAGAGAAGACAATGGAGCTATTCCCACCACTGCTTGCTCCACCATGCTCAAAGCAGTCATCTCCCTTCCTGCACCCTTCAGGCCACGCATGCATCCTCACTGAAAATGAACAGGCATGAGAGAGAAAAGCGCTCCACCTACAGAAGCACTTCCCCAGACAAAGCACCTAGCCTTGGAGATTTCCCATAATTAATGTGAACTCTCTCTAATCAGTGACATAGCCACAAAGATGAAAGAAAACAGAAATAGAAAGGCACTGCCAGAATAAGGTCTCTAGATGCAGCCAGAGGCTGTCAGCAGCAGAGATTGTCAGCGCCTACATCAGAGGACCAAGGCCAGAGATGAAGCGGCTCATGCCCTCAATAGCTACGGCCTCTGATAAACTGTGTCTGCATGTGGCACATAACCCCCACCAAACACCACACCCTCTGTGTCTGCAGGGGCACATGCACCCTTCCTACCTAACACCACAGTCTCTCTTGATATGATTTTTCCCTCCCCCAAACAGAAGGAAGAATCTTCTAATCCCTTTCATTCAGGCTTTTCTGCCCCTTGGTTAGTTAATGTCAGTTTTTTCTTTTTTTTCTGTCAATCATAGGGCTTGAACTCTGGGCCTGGGTGCTGTTCCTCAGCTCTTCAGCTCAAGGCTAGAGCTCACCACTTGAGCCACAGCACCCTTCCGGTTTTCTGGTGGCTTATTGGAGATAAGAGTCTCACAGACTTTCCTGCCCAGGCTGGCTTTGAACTGTGATCCTCAGATCTCAGCCTCCTGAGTAGCTAGGATTTCAGGCATGAGCCACCAGCACTTGGCTTCAGTTCTTTTTTTCTAACAATAAAGGGCAAATCATGAAAATCAAAGTTTTCACCTAAAAGTTCACAGAAAATTTGAACAAAATAACTATGTTTTAAAGGGAGCAGGTCACATGGAGATGACAGCATTCAAGCTAAAATGACATTTCTGCTAATATATACCATTTTTCCTCTCTAAATCTTATTTCTATGCAGCTTCCACAAAGTCCCTGAACTTTTCACTTTGGTATAAGCACTTGAAGCGGAAAACATGAGCATGTCCCCATAAGAAAACACCCCAGATAGACAGCAGGCATGGGCCACTGGGCTGGAGAGGGTAAGGAGCCACGGGAGCCCCACACAGGATCTTACGTGGTGAAGAAAGTCTACGAGGAGGCAGTGGGCTTTCACTTTGTCCTCTAGCTGGTGGAGAATGATCAGCGAGGTATTGCTGAGCCCGGGGGCCTCTGTTAGAACACAGCAGGAGATGTATGCTCAAAACAGTGTTTTTTAACAGCTGCTGCTAGCAAAATACAGCTAAGATCTGAAAAGAGCAGAGGACTAACCCTAATAAAATTATATACATGGCTGAAAAGTTTAGATAAAGTTCACATTACATTTACTTAAAATAAAAAGACTATATGGTTAGTTTAGTCCCAATTCATATGGAACTCAACAACTCAGAAAGACATGTGGCTGGTACTCTATCCCCTAATGTTCCTAGTGAGGTTAGCAGACATACTGATGCAGCATTGCTGGGCGGAAATAAGTATCTGAGTTAAGTCCCTGGTACATAAGAATGTAGAGTGAACTGAGGGGACAGTGTCCTTGGACAGGCAGTACCATAAGATGTACTCACTCTGTTCCCTCCCACTCTGAAGAAACAATGTAAAACCCCTACTAGTCACACACACTAATGATGCCAAAAATATGTTAATTTGAAGCTGAGGTAAATGCTAAATGCCTACTTATATCACCAAGTTCCAGTTAGAAAGAAGATGCCCACCCAGAAATGGAAACAAGGGTGTGTGTGTGTGTGTGT